CAGACAAATAATTTTTTTTAAGGAAAGATAAAAAAATCTTGTTTATGTTTGTAATTGTAAAGGTTTTTCTAAAAAAGAAAATAAACAAACAAACAAACACAACAATAAGTTTAATTTGTTTATAAAAAATGCAAAATGCTTTTTTGACAGATTTTTACCCCTTAAGTTTTTCAGAATTTGCATTTTACCCCTCACTCTAAATTTTGAGGGGTAAAAACCCCTTGGCCAAAAAAATTATCTGGAGCTCTGATGACACCCTTGGGGCCGGGCCAGTTTTGACCCCAGGGCTTTAATTTGAACAAACTTTGTAGACACTAACTAGAAGATGTTTCATGCTTATTGTCTAAACTCTAGCTATTTGGGTTTTTTCAAAGAAGATTTAAAGTTTTTGCTATACACATATAAGGAAAATCAATGCAGGGCTCGAATTTAACTTTTTTGGCTACTAGCAATTTTTTGCTAGTGGACAAATTTTTAACTAGCAAAAACTGAATTCAACTAGCACTTTTTACGACAATGATTTTTTAATTCCAAATTGTTTAAACTTTTTGTGTACATTCATTTATTGTTTAAATTATCATGTACCATAATAATTAATTCATTATTGTTACAATCACCATAATAATGAATTTTATTGAAAATGTTTTTATTAATAAATGTTGTAGTAAACATAAATTTAAAGTAGTTTGCTATAACTTGAGCTCATTCAATTAAAATACTTCAATTTTAAGTTTAATTATTTGATGTGCGGAAAGACAAAGTTGTTGCTTGATATAGAGAAAAAAAAATTGTAATTTATTTGGACGAGTTCGAACTGCCCAGGGTACGAATCAGCAACATAACTTTCTACTCAAAAACTTGATTTAGGGAACAGGGATTCTTATGAAATGTCAATTTACATGTAAAAAATAATTATGCAATATTGTCGCCATACCGACGATGTCTGGTCTGGATTATGCGCACAACAATCGGCGCAAACTATTTTGGCAACATAATTTTCCATCGCCATCGACATGATCGAGTGCGTACGTGCAGTTCTTTCTCCCATTTTTAACCGTTTTAACTGAAGGTCTGGTTGTCTTTCTTTTGATAGACTGTGAATCATCTTCTGTACTCGGAGTATTGTTATCGGAAGACATATATTTACTTCAGTAAGTGGGAAGAAGTTCGTTATTTTTCGTTTAGACATTTTATTCCGATCACGCTTGATTTACACGGACAAAATGACTTTTGGACTGGTTTAAATTTGTGTACCTTTTTAAGCAAGGTTAGGGTATAGAAAATGTAAACCAGACAGCAAGTGCGTGCATAGTTTATAACTCGGCTACCTGCGAATATTACGCCCCATTTATAATTCGGATTTTCCTAACGAGCGTATTCCGTTTTTTCTTCAACTCGCAAAAAATTGCGAGTAGTCATAAATCTAACTCGCAAAATCATTTTTCAACTAGCATTTTGCGAGTTTGCGAGTGTTAAATTCGAGCCCTGCAATGACCCCCGGGGCGGGGCCAATTTTGACCCCAGGTCTTTTATTTGAACAAACTTTGTAGACACTCACTAAAAGATGTTTCATGCTTAATATCTTAACTCTAGCTATTTGGATTTTTTCAAAGAAGATTTTTAAGTTCTTGCTATACACATATAAGGAAAATCAATGACCCCCGGGGCGGTGCCAATTTTGACCCCAGGGCTTTTATTTGAACAAACTTGGTAGACACCTATTAGAACATGTTTGATGCTAAATATCTTAGCTCTAACTCTTTGGATTCTTTAAAAGAAGATTTTTTAAGTTTTTACTATATGCATATAGGGAAAATCAATAACCCCCTGGGGCGGGGCCAATTTTGACCCCAGGGCTTTTATTTGAACAAACTTGGTAGACACCTATTAGAACATGTTTGATGCTCAATATCTTAGCCATAGCTCTTTGAGTTCTTTAAAAGAAGATTTTTTAAGTTTTTACTATATGCATATAGGGAAAATCAATAACCCCCTGGGGTGGGGCCAATTTTGACCCCAGGGCTTTTATTTGAACAAACTTGGTAGACACCTATTAGAACATGTTTGATGCTCAATATCTTAGCCATAGCTCTTTGAGTTCTTTAAAAGAAGATTTTTTAAGTTTTTACTATATGCATATAGGGAAAATCAATGACCCCCCGGGGCGGGGCCAATTTTGACCCCAGGGCTTTTATTTGAACAAACTTGGTAGACACCCATTAGAACATGTTTCATGCTCAATATCTTAGCTCTAGCTCTTTGGGTTCTTTAAAAGAAGATTTTTTTAAGTTTTTACTATATGCATATAGGGAAAATCAATGACCCCCTGGGGCGGGGCCAATTTTGACCCCAGGGCTTTTATTTGAACAAATTTGGTAGACACTCACTAGAAGATGTTTCATGCCAAATATCTAAGCTCTAGCTCTTATGGTTTTTTAAAAGAAGATATTTAAAGTTTTTTCTTTCGGTTGCCATGGCAACCAGAGTTCTGCATGGATTTGAATTCTTTGAACAATTTTTAAAGGTGACTACCAAAGGAACATTCCTGTGAAGTTTGGATGAAATTGGCTGAGTGGTTTATGAGGAGATGTCATTTAAAGTAAAAGTTTACGGACGGACGCCGGACGCCGGACGAAAAGCGATCACAAAAGCTCACCCTGTCACTTTGTGACAGGTGAGCTAAAAATGTTGTGTTGATGTAAATCAAATGCAACTAGTACTTCATTAAATATTATCAATACACATTTGTTTATTTTCCATGCCATATCGAGTATATTTTATATGCATGTCCATATAAAGGTGTACATGTATATTTTGTGAAATAAAATAAGAAAAAAAATCCAATGATATAACTCGATTTGATGATCACTTCTCCCTAAATTTCAAAGCTTCTCCCTATTTTTCCTGAAGGGAGAAGTCACCCTAAATTTTCAGTCCAAGGTAGTCCCTGCATAGCTTATTGTAAACTTCAGTAATTAAAGTAATTCCTCTTTCAGATATTTTTTGTTTACATGTACATCTGACAGTCAGTGACTCTGTTTTGGATTTTCCAATAAAGCTATTTTTAAACTAACTAATCAAATCATCCATTACAAAAAGTGTCGCCACCAGTGAAATCAGTGTAATTTTGCATTACAAAAGTAATAGAGTAGATATTTCAAATATATTCCCAGCGAAACACAAGACTCATTTTTGGTATTTAAAATAAATGTTGATTGACATTATTTAGGTGCTACCATTTTTGTTCACCTGTAATACCTTAAAATTGCAAAAATTCAGCTTCTACAAAGAAGGGTTTTTTGCCCTGTTGTGTCTTCGAGACAAGGACACAATAATTGGCCAATTTATCAAGTCATGTTGTCGTGTCTTTGCCCTGAGAGTCAAAGACACAATAAATTGGCCAATTATTGTGTCTTAGCCTTTTGCATTTTCAGGCAAAGACACAACAAATATAGGGCGCCAATTTGAAGATCTTCCCCTGCCGTCACGATAATTATACAGAAAGAGATTTTGTGTCTTCGCCTATTAAAATATTGTTACTTCCCCTAAAATATATTGTGTCTTAGTGTCCGCGCCCTCTAAAGTCAAAGGGGAAGACACGATTAGTGGGTCTATTAGTGGGTACATATTTCTATGCGTAATTTATGTTTTCAAAGATAATATCCTACTACTAAACAACGGTCTTCAGTAATCTCTGATGTCAAAACATATTGACAACAAGAGACCGTCGATGTTCGCAGAGACTGTTAACAGGTTGGCCAAGCAATTGCTGTCTGCTTAACATTTGGGAAATTTATTTGCATTGCTTTTGAGAAGGGAATAAATACAAATAAGGTGACAGTCATGCTCATGAAATAGTGACTATAATACAATACAAAATTTATTTATAGCACATGGAATCCATTTTCAATCAGGGCAAAAAATTATCACTATTTTAAGAAAAAATTTGGATTTCTTTTTAATTGTTATGGTTCTCGGTATGCATCATCTGGCGTCCTGGTATGATTATTTATTGTAAGATGCGTTGATTACAAAGCTGGGATTTTGTATATCCTTAATTTTGCACAAGAACGTATAAACATAGTTGATAGTAAACAAGCAAATATAAATACATATGCCAGGAACCAATAACACACCATAAGCTATCAATCAGAAATTCAGATGTTATATTACATTATTATAGCCTACAACGGCACTTTTTGACAGTGCATAAAATTCTGGTGCCTTCACAGCTTATCATTGGCCAAATAAGTTTATGTTAACTGATAGAGTATATTTGCAGACATAAAATATTTAACTGTTGATTGGTAACTTGTGATTATTAATGGCAATCATTTAAAGAGATTTGTAAAAGGTCCGGTACATGGCTTTTGCTCGAGACAAGTGCTGTTAAAAAATTGTTGTTTTTTTTCTATTTCTTAAAGAAATATGTTTAAGAATTTTTTAAGACATTGACAGATATTATTATGGACATGTAAAATAAATACCGAAACTTTGTCTTCTAAAAGTAACATCAACCACAGTAAATATCACCTTAAATTACAAATTTGAATATTTTGTTTAACAATGCCTGTTGAAATAGCTGATAAAAAACAATTTGAAACTATTTAAAATATATTTAACAATCAATGACAAACTGGACAACTATAACTATGAATGTTTCTGCAGAAAAGAGACAATTTTCCACACATCAGTAAAAGACTGATAGAATGAACATATTAAATGTGTGCATTAACAAAGGAAAACCTAAAACCAAGCTTTTATTTCCAGTATGTATTAACCATCAGCTGTACCCATGGTTGACAGGATGTTCACTTTTCTACCTAAATGATTTTCCACTTGTCCTGTCTGATGCATGGGCTTCATTTTCTGTATGTCCAGACTCCTGCAGCTGATTTGACTTGTCATCACAAGCAAATGAGTCAAATTCCAAGCGCTAGTTATTTGTACAAAATAAATGAAAATTACAGAAAACAGATAAATGCATCATTATTCCTTACCTGCTTCTGAACTTTGACTTCGGACAACAGGAGAAGACTTTGATACACCCCATGGATTTTGTCTTTGGCAATGGTGCTTCAACATAGTTCACATTATCAAATTTTTTTCACTATTTCTTCTTTCTTCTCATCTTTATCACCTTTTTTCTCTTTCTTTTCTGTTTCTTTTTTATCATTGTCTTTCTTTTTCAAAACTTTCCTACTTTTGTCATCTTTGCGCTCATCTTTTTTCTCTTTTCTATTCTTCACCTCTTGAAACTCATCATTCTGATGTTTTTCCTTGAGGCACTTTCACCTCTGCTGTTTTCATCTGCTTTTTTGTTTAGTATCTAATGTATTTGTATTAGCAGATAACTTTTTTTTCAAGGGTGGCGTTTGGCCCATAACATTTTCTACGGGTGCCTGTTCGATATATTTGGATTCACAGCCTTAGATGAAACTTTTCAGTCTCATCCTGGGGATACAGATGTCATTGCTGTAGACATATTGTTAATTTCAATAAATATCAAAAATGAATCAAACAAACAGTCTGTTTAAACCCAAGAACTATTAGCAAATAAAAGTCTCAACAATACAGTATTTTTGCCTTTATCAGAGAGACCTTCTAACAAAGGCAGTTTGTCAAATCGTTAATACATATTTGGTATGTTTCCTCACTTAACAATATGGCATTCAAAACGACAGTATAGAAAAACATATTCTGCAGAATATGTTTGCACTTGCGCACTTTTTTAGACTTCAGCCACGTTGTCTAATCGTTTGTCATATTTTCAAAGTCATTTTATAAAGTGTCAACCACTGTAGAGTATAAAAATAGCCTGGACAAATAGCAATTTTATTTGCGATACTTAATTAGACCTCAAAAGCAAGTGTAACGGAAGAATACTGGCACAACATTTTATCAACAAATATTTTGAGCACATGTCGCCATTACTGTGTAAGTTAATTTCTGCGCATGTGCAAACAAATCGGAAGCTAAAACTGTTCCCCAGTCTACTTTTACGGTAGACAACTTCGTTAGTCAAACTCCTCACAGTGATTACCTCCCTTGGCAGAATTGTAATCACTGCCTTCAAAGACGTCACATGATGATGAAAGTCACATGACGTAACGTCGAAATTCAAATGTAAATATCGACCGTTACAAAGAAAATCTAACGTTATTTTTCTCTTTCTGTTTTATTTTTTACTTTTAGTGACTACGTTCCATATAGTTTATTAAAAAAAATTATCGAAAGTATACAAAATAACGAAAATAAATTCAAAAGCTAAAAAATATAAAATATCAAAAATATCGTCTCGTAGAAAATAATCTCATAATTTTTAAAATTATTTCTAAATATTCATATTATTTATTTATTTATTCATAAACATTGTTAAATAAATGAGAGAAAACTTATCTGATAGATAAAAGCAGTAGATAAAACAATTTTTGAAAAAATATAGTATATCAGAAATTCTGATATATTGGGACCTTGGTGGCAGAGATCTACGCCGAAGAATTAAGGGGAGATCACTGTGTGGAGATTGTTCGTTAGTAAGATGTTATCTCCCTTACACCGTAAATTTTATATGTATAATTTTGCCATTTATATCAATATACATGTATTTTGATCCTTTAAAGTTTATAAAGCTATATATGTGATATAAAAATTATTGTTTGGATTTAACAAAAGAATACTGGAAAAATGCTTTTATGAACATGGTAATTAAATGAATTAAAGCGAATGATGCATGCACAAAAAGCATTGCTAAATGGATAAAACCAAAATAATATTTTGTTTCTCGGAACATTTTATTCTGTTTATGTAAATTATTCATGTGTATTAAATAACCGAGGCATTCTATGTTACAACTTTTTCTGGAATCAACCATATAAAAATGAAATCAATATAATTTTACTGTTGATAAATTTTATAAAAATATTTGTATTAATATTTTAATAAAATTGGACCCTCTGAATTCGCCTAGGTATTTGGTGCCCTATGCGCAATGTGCAAATTAGGTCCATACTAGATTCATCGTCGGATACCCACGGCCGAACCATTAACATTCATCAGATTGCATGTTATGTGACATGTTTATCAATCGTGGGTATCCGACGATGGTCTAGATTATGAATGGTGAAATGCTAGCACGGTCCTAGGGGGGATTTTTCAATGTCCATATGCGTACACGTATGGTACCAGGAACTTTAGAACTTTACATGTACCTGTGGTTGTTAACGCAGTAATATATATGGGATTCGCGTTATTCGGATTAAATTAATAATATATCATTAAAATTTGCAACATCAATAGCATAAACTGTTAATTTTCATTGCTAATGAAATAATCGACAATAACAGAGACTTATAAACTTGGAATATACGGCAACACAGTGTGACTTTCTTCGGCGTGTGGACCGTCCACACAGCCTCAAACCTGGATGGGTTATATATATCCCCCACGTGCCATTCCTACTGTTCTTATTCGCTCTGTAGAATGTCACTGTCTTCTTCCGACCTGATTCTCAGAGCAGGAAACAAAACACGCTCTAATATGGAAATCCTGAGTTAACAGCAATTGGGTCCGAGGTGTGGTCCTGGACAAGAACACTCTGGTGTCTTTTTCCTAGGAGCCTCTTTATTACCTGATGACGCAACTCGTGAAGTAGGCGGCCATGTACGCGGAACTATTTCAAATTTGCATTCCGACAAACGCTATGTAATTGTTATCACTGAGAAAAGAAGTGACAGTCCTTCTCATTTAATACCTTTCTGAACAGAGAATATCTTGCACAGTTCGTTTAATTACGTGTTTCGTTCTCTACCAAAGGCCAAGGCTAAATTGTGGAAAAAAATATAAAGAAAAATATCTAATTACATGTATCATAATTTCTTATAACTTGGAATGTTTTGGGGTAAAAACCCTAAATTGTTACGCTCGATCCCCATGCCCAAAAATAAAGCTTTGAAAATTTTGTTGTAATACTTTTTGTGACAGTAATCAAAGTAATCTTCAGTTGTAAAATTGGCAATTTGGAATTGTGAACAGACTTTGGAATATTGTGAGCCTTTATAAAGCCTTTGTTATACATTTCAGCATGCATGTTAATCATTCAGATTAACATACATGTATATGGAACACATATTTCAAGGGGGATCGGTCTACAATGGGCACATTTTCCTTTATAAGTATTTTAGATAATAAAGGAAAAAAATAGAAACTTTATATTTGGATATTTTTATGACATGATTTAGGATAAACATTTACATTACGAATGATAATATTTCTAGAAGATTCTTTTTTTTTTAGCCTTATAAAAATACGTAATATCGGATCATACACTTGCCAACAACATTCATATATAATTCTTGTGTGGTTTGTTGTTATGACTTACACCAAATACTTTACACATAAATATTTTTTGTATTACTGACCTTCCAACATAGACCAGTTCTTTTTAAAATATATGTATAAAACGTAATATAAAACATATATTGTGAAATGATCGAAGACAATTTAAATAACACAATGCAGACGGCACTTGTAGACAATCAATGTAAATTACCAAAAAGAGGTCAAATATGCAAAAATAGCCCTTAGTGCGTTTGCAACGCAGCAGAAATATGGTGAAAAAATACTGCAGAATCGGTCACCAATCGCACATAGCATTAAAATAATTACTTTTATACTAAAAAGCTCAGTTTCTTAAAATAGTTTGACTCTTCTCGAGGCATGCAATTTAAGTGCCAACAAAGGCACAATGTGGTCTTGTAATACATTTTTGTAAGCTCAGCATCGAACATCGAAAATTAAAGAATATGCTATGCAAGAATTCATCATCTTTATATATATATATTCTAAATAGTGTAACGGATAGTTTTGAACTCATATTGCATACCATACAGGTACGTGAACAGGTACGTGAACAGCAAGAATACAAAATTGGCGCCTTTACGCGTAGCAAGGTGCCCGTTGTAGATGGCGCTACATATCTAATTAATGCAATTAGGTATTCATGTTCAAAACGAGGCAAACTGTTCTTTGTCATGGCGGGACGCTAGCACATGTCTTCCAAAGGAAAATTACTCACTTATATTTGCTCTATTTGTAAGTATTGACACTTGATATTTGTTTGTCTATTTAGAATGTGTATTCCAACCACCACATTTGAGTGTAAAAATATGCGATCGCTGACTGTCAATAGTGGTTCTTTGTAAAATTTTGGCGTGCACGTTCTTTCGTATTCAAATGCCAGACTGGGGATGTTTTCGTTGAAAAGTAGGATGTTTATTTAACATTATCAGTCATATTTGCAAGTAACACCTGTAATTAAATTGGTTAAAATTTTAGGTAGATTTGCAAGGAGAGGCAGTATTTAAGGTTGATATTCTTGCAAGGTTTGGAGAAAGCACTGCAATTTTGATTTACGTGGTCTATTTGTTCAAATTTGCAGACATGATCAAGCAGGGCAAATTGCCGACGCTGAATTTTGATTGGTTCAAAATACGTTCATGTCATTTTTTCGAGGTCCCTTTGTTTACAGAGAAGAAAGGATTTTTTTACACAAGGGAAGCTTGGTTATTTTGAGAAATTGACATTCTACAGTGGAAAGAAGCTTTTAATTTGACAACATTTTGGTTTCAACATGGTTTTATAGAATTAAAGTGTTAACTGTTATTAATATTTTGTAATAGTTCTTGTTCTGATGATTCACACATCTGAGTGTTTAACTCTGACTCACACAGTACCCAGTTCCATTACTGTTTACTGAGACAAAGGACACTCTTCACCTCAGGATATTACAAATAAACATATGTGTATGAAGTATCATAAATGATGTTTTATGTATGGAAGTGTGTTTGAGATGAAAATTGAAAAATATCAAGGTATGATTTAAAATTGTTTTCAATTTTTACTTACCTTGACATAAAATTGTTTTCAATTTTTACTTACCTTGAAACATGAAGTTTACATGTTTTGAACTTTACTTAATGAGAGCTTATTTTCACACAAAATAAACAACACAAATTTCATTTGATCTAAGTCTTAGTGTCTTTACTTTGATTGATACTTGGAAAGTAAGTGTCACTCAATTTGAAAATCACTCGTAATCTAAATTGTTGTATTTCAACTGTTCACATTTATGTTGGAAATGAAAATAGTTTGATAAAGGTCTACTTTGTAGTGTTCTGTAGATGGTATCTATTTTACTACTTTAAGTATTTACATGTTATGTACTGTAGAATTTAATTTTTTACTCAGAATCACAGATATATTGCTAGTTGTAAACTGGATCTGGG